GCGGGCCGGCGGCGGGGAGATCGGGTCGGGCCCGTGCGGCCAGGGCCCCCCAGGAAGTTCGGGGCCAGTGACGCGTTTGTGCTTCTTTCCCCAGCCCGGCCGCGATGAAGAGCTGCTCCCAGTGAAAGGAAAGTAGGTCGCGCCCACTGAAAATGCCTTTAAGGGACAAATACTGTCAGACTGACCACCATCACCACGGATGCTGTGAACCAGGTACACCCCCGCCCTGGCCTGCGCCCCAAGTGTCCCTCGCCCGCCGGGGCCAGCCCCACCTTCCAGCTCCTTCCAGCCCCGCGTGCCTCGGGCCGGCCCTGGAGTCGTGCGTAAAAGGGAGCAGGGCTGTAAGGTGCCCCGGGGAGGCAGCGAGAAGTCTGTCCCAACAGGAGGTCTCCCCCCCGCGTGATCCCTTCCCACGGGGACGGCCAAGTGTCCCCGTCAGTGGTTTGGGCGACCTTCTGCCTTTTCTCTCTGGGCAGCCTGCGCTTAGCCGTGCGTCCCCGTGGGCACCCCAGGTTCGGCACTGGGTAGAAAGTGGGGAACGTCTAGGAGCAGCCTAGCGTTTCTCTTCCTGAAAATGGCTTCATGGAAGCTGAAAAACAGCGACACGTTGCTCATGCCTTTTTTAATCAGACACTTCTCTCTTAAGACCTAGAAAGGAAGGTAGTGGAGGCTTTGTTATTATTATTTTTTAAAAAGGCGTTTAGAACTCCAAATGTTGGGAGGATCAGGTCTTGCTAAGTGCTGTCGTTTGAAAACTTTCTTGCGTAGATCAAACCGCCTAGCGAAGTGAACAGTTTTCTTGCTTCGGTCGAGTTTAAGGATTTTTTTTTAAGGCTATCCGGGGGCCCTTTTTCTTTTTTAAGCTGAATTTATGAAATGAAAAAAAAAGTGCTTTTAAGTCTTATGAGTTTTAGCAAACTTTGAGAGGTGATACAGAAACTTTTGCCAGTTTTTCTGCTTCCTAGGACTTTGATGTGTTCTGCCACTAATATTTAGAAGTACAACTTAAAAGGGACTCATTGAGTAAATTGTTTATTTTAAACTGAAAGTTGGTTACGATTTTTATGCTTTCTCTTGCTTCTTGAAGGACGCTTTTAACTGCTTGGAGGGTATTGTTTTCTTTCTAGGCATATCTGTAGCATTCATTTTAAGTGGCGTGAACGTTTAATTGATAGGAACAAATGGCAGTGGTAAAGAAGAGCTATTTCCAGAGGACTTTGGTACACAGGAGAATAAAGTTATATTATGACTACTGTCCCACCGCACTTTGTGGAGATCAGTAAGGAAACAGGGGACCCCAGGCTGGCAAATTTCTAGCATCTTTTCAGATGTTTCCTGCCCTATCTAACTTTCAGAACCTTTTCATACCACTTATCTTGTATATTTGAAGTGAAGAGAGATTAATTGTTTCAGCAAGTTTTGAACAGAGTTTGTTTTGAAGTACAAAGATGTGGATGTTTTTTATATTTGTGGTCTACCAGCCTTTTAGCCCAGGTTTTTTTTTGTTGGTTTGTTTTTTGTTTATTCCTGAGAGCTCTTCAAGCCACTCTGTAGGATGAGTTCATTTGGGAAATCATGTTTTTTTAGAAAGATGTCTGTTCATTTACTTAGTCATTTTTTGGACAAATTATTATTGAGTCCTGACTGGTGCTGGCCTGCCACTGTCCAGGGCAATGAGGATTTAAATGTGAGCAACACAAACAGAATTTTCCTCCTACAGCTAATGGGTGGGGCATAGGCATAAACAAATGAATAAGCAAGCTAATTTGTGAGCTTACTGTCATTAGTATATTCTAGTGATTATAGTTTCCTTTGGATATAAAGCCTTTAAAAAATGTTTTCCTGGGTGTTCCAGAGCATTTAAATGTGCATTGGAACTTTTTTGTATCTTTTTTTCTATTTGCAAGAAATCTGATGAATGGTATTAATTTCACATATTCATCTTTTGTCTGAAACTTTTCCTATTTGTCCACCTCCCCTCCAAGATTAAGGGTCAAAAGTAGTTCTTTGCTTTTTAATATTAGAATGAAAACTTTTTACAGATTTAGTCCTGTTCTAATTCTTTTGATACCATATAGATTTGTTAGATTTCTGAGGAAGGCACCTGTTGAGTGGAAGGATGCTTCCAGGGCTGAATGGGATATGTTTGGAATGATTATTAAAAGTGATGTCCTCAGATGGAAGGAAAAAGAAGAAATGATATTTGAGAAATTCTTTTAACAGGCTGGATGAGAGAGGGTCCTCATTTGAATTACAGACAGTGGTGGGTGGTGTATTCCTGAGGAGGACGCTGTGTCCTAATGGTTGATATAACAACTTGTCAGTGATGGTGTTGTAAGCCTATATTTACATATATAGCCCACTGCCATTGAGTCTGTTCCAACTCTTAGTCATCTTATAGGACAGAGTAGATACAGTATCTTGCTCTTATGCTGTAAGAATGTTTTTTTTTTTAATTATTGGAAGTTTTAAGCATTAAACGGAAAGTGGTATCAGGAACCTGATCTAACCATTACACAGCTTCCTCAGTTGGTTGTACAGGGACGGACAATCTCTTTTCATCTATATTCCCCTCTCCATCCCTGAAGGGTTCCCTACCCCAACCCCTGTTTTGAAGCAGATCCCAGAATTCCTAAGTAGAAGGATTGTTGGCATGGGTTGTTTTAAGGTAGCAGAGACAGAAAAACAGGTGTTTTATTCTGGCAAGTGCGTTTTTGGAAGGATAGATGTAACTTCTAACGGCTTGGCTGATCTTGATTAGGGGGAGGTATTGTCTTCTTTCTAAAATGGTCATATAATCGAGATGGATCTGAACTTGAGGAGAACTTTTGAAAGCCACAGATATATGTAATGCTTTCTAATGGGGGTATGTTTTCAAATGAAGAATCATTTCCTACCATGGGAGCTACGTGGTATGAATTCATGTTTCACAGTGGGCCACAGCCGAGCTAACCGGGATGTGTCAGAGCAGTTGCTGAGGTGGTGTGTGTGGAGATGGAAGTTGGTGTTTAGGGAACGTTTTCTGAAGCATGTACTTACTGAGAAAAGGGCTCTAAAGAAAAGTCTATACTTTTATCTCATATCCATCCCTATTTATTTCTTTTTTTCATTTTCCCTTTCTAGAATTCTTGCGGCTTGCAGAGCCAGACTTTGACATTTTTAGTTCTTAGAGGTGTGTGTTCTGTCCCTCTTTTTTCTTTGTTTTTAGAATAATCATCAGCTGTTAGAATGCACAAATACTAGAAACTCCATCTAACACGAACAGTATCATCAGTCTTATTTATAAACTTCTGCATTTGTTTCTTTAAAAGATAGAATTGTATTTCTCGTCATTGATTTTGACACAATTTTTCAGTGGTGTCAGGAAATAAATGGATTGGCGCACGGTGCTGATAATATTGCTGATTTAACGTGTGTTGAGTGCTTACTATGTTCCAAGTATTGGTGGAAGTGATTTCTCTGCATTAGTTCATGCCATCCTCACATAATCGATTGATCTTTGTGCGTCTGTGGTATGAGGCAAGAGAGATCCGAGGGTTAACGTACATGTGTTGCATTTAGTGGATGCCAGAAAAAACAAATGCTCTGTTAGTGTTCTTAATGTTCTCAAAATGTGCAGATGTTCTCAAAATGAGTGTGTGTATATATTTTTAATTTATCTATACAATATCCCTTATGTGTCCCTTAAAATGGGGGAAATTTGACATAATAAAGTGAATTGACACCAAGACGTAGTTCTTGCCATTTGCCTGCACAAACTATAAGACTTAGGCATAAAGAGTTATCTAATGTTGCACCTAGGAGCCCTGGTGGTGCTGTCTGGTAAATGTTGGACTAGTAACCACAAGGTTGTTGGTTTAAACCCAGCAGCCACTCTGAGGGAGACCGATAAGGCTATCTGCTCTCTAAAGATTTATAAAACTTCGGAAACCGTAACTCAGGCACTGTGACTTGGAAATGACTCAGTGGTAGTGGGTTTGCTTGATTTTTTTTTCTTCTTCTTTAAGACTGTATCTGTATACATGCACAACAGACTTTAACCCCATTATCAGAAAGCTGTGTGTGGTCCAAACCTCAGCTCAGAAGCATCATACAGTATTGAAATAACCTTCTGTAACTTCTCACACAACATTGGTGGTTTTGGATGATGGGGAACAAAACATTACTGCAGATTCACAATGAGATAATTAAAATGGTCAGATTTTAATTGATGGGAAAACTCAATTTTGGAAAGTAGGGTGATAGCCAACTCACTACCTCTGCCATTGAATCAATTCCAACCCTAAGCGACCCTGTAGGACAGAGTAGAACTGTTGCTTAGGGTTTCTGAAAGCACCAGTCTTTTCAGGAGTAGACAGCCTCCCCTCTCCGGTGGAATGGCTGGTAGGTTTGTACCTCTGACCTGCCAGTTAGCAACCCTCCACGTAGTCCACAGCCCCACTAGCCTGTTTAGGGATGATAGAGATCTTTGTAAGTAAAACTTTTTTTAAAGTGGAAATAATTATACTTTTTTATAAAAATATCTTTATTCTACAATGCAAGCAGCACAGAAGTGTGAGGCAGAATGTGAAACCTCACCCCTGTGAGACCACCAGCTAGACCTGTAAAGTTTTCATTCGTCTTGTGTTTATATCAGTACACAAACACACTTAAATTTCCCCGTGTCTATATGTGCTAATGTAAATGGGGCTTCGCTTTCTGAGACCTGTTTTTGCTGCCTGGAAATCTAGTCTGGCCCCTATAGAGAGAGTTAAATTGTGTGAAATGTTTCTCAATTATGCACAGTGCTGCCGTGAGCATTGTGTTACATTTATCATTTTCCTTCAGTGGTTGTTGAGTTTTCCTCATGATTGCTCAGAGGGCTGCACCAGATTGTCCAGAGGGTTCTAGAACGGTTTCTGAAGTGTAGCCAGGCTACTATTGCCCTAGGATTGTAGTCAATGCAGTAGTTCCTCTGCGAGGGGAATGAACCAGGAATGTGCACTAAATAACACTAACGGTGCAGTAGACCCTTTGCTGTTGTACCTCCTCTCTGTCTAGTGTTACGTAGCTTTGAATTGAGAACATTTTAATTGTTTTGTGTTCTCCCATTGTTTCATTTGCATTGCAAAGATGATGTATATCTATAACTATACATATACACACAAGTATAAGTATCATTAACATAATTGCTAGCAAACCATTGTTTTACTTCAATAATAAATGATTTCAATAACCCTGTTTCTGTGGGGATTGGGGCGGGTGTTTGTCTTCCATGTAGTTTATATCCTGGAACCTGGAGATCCTCCTTTGCTACAGCAACCACTACAGACATCCAAATCTGGCATTCAGCAAATAATTGAGTGCTTTCGATCAGGTATGAATGTTTTAGGATATATTTTTCAGTCTTTACTCAGTAGTTAAAAAGCTACTTAGAAGTCTTTACAAACACTTTTTCAAAACTTATTACACTGTGTACATTGGCTTTCTCTATCGACTACTTTCAATTACTATATTTTAAAAGTGAATGGGTAGATATCGACTTGGTCTAAAGAATGTTTTCAGTGTTTTTTGTCTGCATATGTTAATGTTAAAAGAAACATTTAGTGTGGTTTAAAGGAATACATAATGTGGTATATTTGGTAGTAAAGTGCCTCTTTTCATCATCAGAACAAAAAATCTTACCAGAGTGAATGATGGGGGGAGTGCGGAGTGGAAACCCAAAGTCCATTAGTAGGCCACTGGAGATCCCCTTGCAGAGGGGAGGAGATGAGCCAGTCAGGGTGCGATGTAACAATGATGAAAAATACAACTTTCCCTCTAGTTCCTAAATGTTTCCTCCCCGCTCCCACTACCATGACTCCAATTCGACCTTGTAAGTCTGGCTAGACCAGAGGATGTACATTGGTACAGATAGGAACTGAAAATCCAGGGAATCCAGGGCGGATGAGCCCTACAGGACCAGTGGTGTGAGTGGCGAAACAGGGAGCGTAGAGGGAGAGTGGGTAGGAAAGAGGGAACCGATTACAAGGAACTATATGTGACCTCCTCCCTGGGGGACGGATAACCGAAAAGTGGGTGAAGGGAGACGTCGGACAGGGCAAGATATGACAAAATAACAATTTATAAACTATCAAGGGCTCATGAGGGAGGGGGGGAGCGTAATGCTGGGGGAAAAATGAGGACCTAATGCCTGGGTTTTAAGTGGAGAGAAAATGTTTTGAGAATGATGAGGGCAATGAATGTACAAGTGTGGTTTACACAATTGATGTGTGTATGGATTGGGATAAGAGTTGTATGAGCCCCTAATAAAATGATTTTTTTTAAAAAAGTGCCTCTTTTAAAGAGCCTTTGCTATTTTGGGGGCATATTTTTATATAAACGCTCACAAGACTGGGGCTTTATAAACTCTGACCTAGTAGACAATTTACTTAGAATGTCTGATATGGCACTGACTCTCGATTAATTACCTTATTATTTCTTTATGTGACTCACCTTCTCCTGCCTTACCCTGGAGTTTCTGGAATTTCACTCTCTTTAATAGAGCACATGATAGACAAAACTTATTCCTGCCTTGATATCTTCAGAACTATTTGCCCAACTCTTTTCGTTATTACATACTTGTAAGAATTGTACATAGTATAAGTATATTTTTTATACAGTCACACTCCAGGGATTTCAAATTGGTGCTGCTTACTACGTATCAGTGACTGAGAACTCTGTTAGTAGTCAGCTCTTAGGTTGCTGTAGTTCTTTTGATCCACCTGTCTGCCTCTCTTGGTTTGGCTTCTCTGAAGTCATAAACTCTTCAGTCAGAGGTGCACAAGTAGACAAAACATGAGTGGTAGAGACCTAACTGATGTTTCAAAGCTTGCTGTCTTAGTGCACAGTTTCTGAGGGTGAAATATTTCAAAGCTTGCTGTCTTAGTGCACGGCTTCCGAGGGTGGAAGAAAAGAGTATTTCTACATAATTACTCATTTTATGTTGATGAGAAACATTTGAGGATGCTTGTTTTTAAGTATTGTAAAAGGGAATGGTATATATGGATATTTGTCTTAAGATTGTAAAAAATAGGATGTTCCTTTATCTCAATTAAAAAGCATTTGTTTGTTGGTTTTTTCCCCCCATCTAAATTTCAGTAATTGATTTCTTAGGTGTTTCACCCTCTCTCTTCCTGGCATTACCTTTATGTATATTTAACCCAGTAAGTACTTCGTGTACATCATGTGTCTGTCTTCTTGCTGGATTATGGGGTTACCTGCTTTAGTGTGTTTTGTTGTTGTTGCTTGTTCTGTACTTATAATAACTACCCGTGGTTAGCAGAATTAACCAAAAATTCTCCCTTGGTAAATATAGTTAAAGTCTTATTAGGGACAGTGTTTAAAATATTCTATTTCTAGCATAACAGAGTAACTCTGTAGTAAGGGTTTGTTTTAGCTCCTTTTAGAATAGAGATACAAATTCCCTTTGTTCTTTCATGCCATGGAACCAAGGTGAATAGCTTTTCACATCTAGTAATATGCCTGGCTATAGGTTTCTTTTTTTAAACTTTGAATTTGAAATTAGTACGGTTATTTTATGCTGCTTCAGTTTATTACATAGTGTCCTTTGATCGAGAGGGTTGGAATTTGGAAATTTATAAATTGTTTCTCCTGTAAAAAATGCCTTTTCAGCAAAATCTTTCCCCCAAAATATGTGTATGTGCTAACCTTGGGAGGTAATTATGTATGTACTCAAGCATAAGCCGATCCGATTACCAGCCAAGGCACCTAATTTTACCACAAAAACTGTATTAAAAATGTGCTGAAAATCTCGAGTATTTTTAAATATTTAAAAACTGAGTTCATGGTTTTCATATTGCACTGCAGTCCTGTTTTCTCTGTCTGCCATTTCTTTACTATCTAAGTTGAAGAAACCATATTCTGGAATGGTTGATTCAGAATGATATTACCAAAGCCATATTTATGTTTATCATTGGAACTTTGGTCGTTTCAAAAATATCCTCAACAAATTTACCATCAGAATAATTTTTTACTTAGGCAAATGGTGAAAAGAACAAAAACAAGCCACCACAAATTTTAATTCTTTGAATGCTCAGTGGCATCCTTGGGTGGTGTGGATGTGCAGTGCACTCAGTGCAGATGCATAATGCACTGGAAGGTTGGAGGTTTGTGTCCACGCAGAGGCACCTTGGAAGACAGACCTGGTGATCTCCTGAAACATCAGCCTTAGAACACTTCCAGGGTACAGTGTTCCTGTGATACACATAGCGTTAGTATGAGTCTGAATTGACTGCTGCGACTTTTTCTATTTTTTAATTTCAAATAATTTAAATTAGAGTTGTTTAGAAATATACTGAGTGGTATAATTTTGGGCAAAGAATTATTTGACTTCAATAATGTTTCATAAATAGAAATTTTCATTGTTTTAAGCTTGCATATCTGGGAAATTGATAGCCTATTAAGACCCTTTAGCAATGAGATCGTTCCAAGCCATTGGTACCTCAGGCTAGTTGGTAACTCAGGGAGGATGAGATAGAAGTGTAGGCCAGATGACATAGGGACTAAGATCTCTTTTAACCCAGAGATTGTCCATTCCTTCCTGTCCCATCCTCCTCCCAAGCTCACCCTCAATGACTCATCTCTTTCCTGACTCTTCCCATTACAACTGGGTTATACACGTTACATGGGAAGCACTATGCTGGTGGTGCTGTGTATCTCTGACAGATGTTTGAAGATAGAGTTCTAAAGTCTGTACTTTCATGCTTGTTGGCCTATAGAGAGTAAATCAGTTGCGGCAGCCAATGTGTTAGTATGTCTCTCCTTATCTTCAAGCCCAGGGTGCCAGTGTCAGCTCCTGCATCATCTCTTTGTAAATGACTCACCTTCTCTCACTTACCGTGGGTCGTCCATGACCTGGTATTCATTCCTACCCAACTTGGAAGTTCATAAAAGGCTTCTGTCTGAGGAATGAATTGACTCATAGAAGGTTCACCAACCCTAGTGGGTGTAATGCTGGTGGCTTGACCAGTTTTGACCCAGGTTCGCTGCCTCACACTTCAGCTTTTACCTGGGACTGTTTTCTTAGCTTTAAATTATAAATCCTTCTTGACCACTTTATTTTTGGCTACTTGACTTGTAAATTAATTTGAGTAGATTTTATCACTGCAATATGTAATTCATGCCTATGGTTCAAACAAAGGAAAAAGTAATTAGGAGTCTGGGAAAATGGAATGGAAAGATAATGCAACTTTTTTTCCATGAGGTTTTTGCTGTCTCTTTGTAGAATGTGAAAAGCAGGCTTCTTTACCACGGTGTCCCCTAGTTCTCTGCTCAGGCAACCCTGCCACATGAGTGGTATGTCTTCTTCCAGAGATAAGCGTCTCTATTCCTTATACACATGCTGGTAGACTGTACACATTGTTCTGTATCTTTGCTTTACTTAACAGTAGGGTCAACTCTCATAGGACATCAGGCCACAGATAGATGCCTCAGTTTTTTAGAAGGCTGCCTCTTTAACATTGACCTGCATGTTCTCTGCTTTGAAATCCCTGCTGTTTGCTGGCTTGAGATCTGCTGTTTGATCTCAATTCCTGGGATCCTGTACCTCCTTGACTGGGTCTTCCCCTTTGCTAGAGCCTTGCCTGGCTGTGTTAGGTTTCTTGGATCCTATCAGTGACTCAGTGTCTTCCAGTATTTTCCCCATTATGTGAGTACTTCTTGTTTATCTTCCTTCCTCCCTGACCTCCTTTTCTCCCTAAATTATTCTAAAAATTTAGATAATAAAAGAAAGGTATGCTACCATTAGATAACTTAAAATTTATGTAATTGAGGTTACTGTTCTGTTTTAGTCTCTTTAGTTTTATGGCGGAGGCAAAGGAGTTTTCAAATGCTCTTTGAAACAAAAATGGGTGGAAAAGAGGATAATCATTTAATATCTTAATTATGAAGGTGACATCTTTTAAATTCACGAGATATATAATGTTAGAAAGCTAGCATATAGTGTAAAAAAAGATTCTACCTTTAGACTATAGTAGACTGTGCAAGGAACTCTGTCTGTTTTGAATATTAGTTAGAACACATTTTAAGTCCACCCCCACACCCACCCCAACGGCTTAAAGCAACCTGCCCTGCCATTTAGGCAAAGCTCAAACTGGTTGGTGACAATGGCACTTCAGCCCTGACTCTTGAGACAAAAAGCCTGTGATGGGCCTGAGAGGTAACAATAATATGTTGAGAGTGCCATACTGGAGGGTAGATTTTTGTTTTTGTTTTTTTGACCATTGCAGTATCGTTATTGGTGAAGCTTAAAATTGTCATTGACCAAATGCCAGTGTTTTAAAGAAAAAGTGCGAGCTGTCTTTGTTGAGCACAGAC